AGTGACCCCAGCCTTCCCGATGGGGAGAGGGAACCGAAATTGGGCACGGAAATCCCCAAAGTGAGCAGGAAGCGTCGAAACATGGTTGGGCTTTGCACAGCCCCACAGAGCACTCACAAATCACCCTGTGCGCCCCTCCTGGCACCCACAGCTCGGCCAATGGACTGACCAGGGCCCCATCTCCCCACCAAGCACCCCATGCCACCCCTGCCCCGGTGTCCCCATCCTCCCTGACCTTGCCGGTGGCCCCATGGGCTACGTACTGGGCTCCCTCCCGCTGGGCGATCTCCACCAGCTTGCGGGCGATGCAGGGCCGTGCCAGTGCCGTGCCCAGCAGGTACCGGTCCTCGTAGAGAGCGTTGGCCTGCACCGCCGGCCAGATGAACTCCTGCACAAACTCCTTGCTGATGTCCTCGATGTAAACCTGGCAGGATGGAGGGAGCCTTGTGATGGGAGGGTGGCTGGGGGGATATCCCACTCCCCTGGTGCAGCAAAAGGTCCCTTTGCCTCCCCTTTAGTAGATGCTGCTAAAAGTCTTTAGTGCAAAACCTCTGGAAAACGGATTTCTCACTGGCACTGTTCCCCTCCTTACAGTGGCCCCAGGCATGGGGTGCATGATACTGCAGGTCTCAGCCCCACAGCAGGGAGCAGGGGAACCCCAGAGCCCCCTGGGCATCCGAAGTGAGGGACACTGTTACCTTCTTGGCCCCCAGCGCCAGCGCTTTCTTTCGTGCTGCTTCAAAATCTTCCTTCTGCCCGATGTTGGCCTGGAAGCGGGTAAAAAAAAAAAACAAGCCTGAGTTTGAAAGGAGACCACAAAACCCAGCGCAAGCCCAGCACGGGGCATCATGCAAAGCATTGCAGAGCCCATGCTGGCTCGGCTTAAGGACACCCAAGATGAGCAGGAAGGGGATTCCCCCCCGAGAGGGCATACCTCAGGGCTGGACCTCCCTCTGCCAAGCCCCTTGGCTGTGCCCCCATGTGCTGCCCTCATTAGCAGAGGGTCATTTGCTGGCAGGGACAGGCTGTGCCACACAGGGCTGGCAGCTCAGCAGAGCAGCACCCAGGCTGGGCGATGGTTAACCAGCGAGAGAAGGGTCACCAACACGGCCACGCACACACCAGGACCCCTCATCACCCACCCAGGTGCCCTAGACCCATGGCCCAGCACCCCCTCCACCCCCAGGGAGTGGGTCCATGCGGCAGAGTTCGGTGCAGAGCTCACCAGGTAGGCGACGACGTCGTAGCCCTGCTCCTTCAGCCACACCAGGATGCAGGAGGTGTCGAGGCCTCCGCTGTAGGCGAGGACCACCGTGCCCTTGGGCTGAGCCATGCTGCTGGCAAAGCAAAGGGAAAGGGGCTCACGATGGCCCCAGCCCCTGCCCTTGCTCAGTGCAGGGATGCTGCAGTCATCAGCTGTGAAACCCTCCCCAGAGCCCCTGAACTGGCCGTGGGGCTGTCACGGTCCAGCCGGGTGCTGAGGGTGGCCAGGGGTGAGGGCTCTCCCTGGGATTATCCAGGGAATGAATAACCAGGAGGCAAGAAGCAAAGCCCACGGCAAACTAAACACTCAGGGCTGGCAGTAGCTTGAGTAGGTAGAAAAGCTCGTGGTGGAGCTGCCGGTGCTGGGACAAGCTCTCCTCTGCCGGGAGTGCCAGGCTGGGGCAGCGAGCAGCAGGCAGCGCAGGAGGGGACTCGCCACGGCATCAGGAGAGATCAGTTGGACCAAGAGCCAGGGCTGCGAGGAGCAAGAGGGGAGGGCTAGGGGCAGGAGGAAAAGCCATTTCACCACAGCCACGGTCAGGCTATGGCTCCCAGCCAGGGAGGGCACCCTGCCCGCCTGCCAGCCGGTGTACCCAGCGGCAGGGGGGGGATGGAGGAGACCAGGGCAGGCATCGGGGCAGCTTTGCTCTTACCTTCGCTCCACGCGGCTCTCGCTCTGGCAGGCCAGCACAGCCTGCCCCGCGCTCTGCCAGCACCCTGCAATGCCGGGGGGCCAGGACTCAGACGCAGCCCGACGCCTTGCTCAGGCACGACCCAGCACGTCGCAGCCCTCTGCCAGGGCTGGTGCAGAGGAGCCGCCACGGCAGACGGGCGCAGCCGCCCACCAGCTCAGCCCCGAGTGCCCACCGGCACTGCTGGGTGTGTGACTGCTGCAGGGCTGGGGCACTCGGCAGCATCCCCCACAGCCCAGCCCCAAGTCTAATTAACCCTTATTGGGCATTTGTCCTAATTATGCTGCCCTATGTTTCCTGCCAGCATGAACTTACGTGGGGATTCGGTGCCCCTCACCCTTCAGCCAAGGATATCAAAGGCTTCAGCCAACACCAGGAGATGGTGAAGGACGGTGCAACCCGGAGCTCAGGGGAAGGGATGGGGGTCCCGCTGTGGGAAGGGGTTTGGGGCTGTCCCTACAGTCCCCAGACCAGGCTGTTAATCCCAGGGCCCCACGAGGAGGTGATGCCAGCTGACCCTTGGCCGGGGAAGGCGGACGGTGGAGCCGGCCAAATCCTGTCCCGAGCAACTTTCATGCTGCCAAGTCAGCCCAATCCTGCTCCTGCCTTTGCAGGCGCGGAGGGCGCCATGCCGAGCTCCTCCAGGCTGGCCCACCCAGCACCTCCTACAGCCGGATGCGGTCACCCCGGGGTGTGCCCCAGCACCCTCGTCCTGCCAGCGCGGTGTGGGGCCAGCGTCCCCCAGGGCATGGCTTGGAGCCGGCCCCGGCGCAGGACCTGCCCTGCTGCTGCTGCTGGTTCCTCGCTTAAGAGCCAAGCGATCTGACAGCCCCGTAACCGCGATTCAGCTCCCTGAGCCTGCCCGTGCCCACAGGGCTGCCTGTGCAGGCAGCACCCAGCACCCAGGATTGTGCAACCAGCGTTTCGGGGCCCCGTGGGTGTGCTGAGCTCAGCTGCTGCCCAAAGAGGCTCAGCCCTTCCCTTCCTCACCAGGGCATTTACGGGAAGGCACTTGCGGTTCCCGAAAGAGCCCAGACCAAACATCATGGTGCACCTGCAGCTCCTGGCTGGGCAAATTTCCTGCTTTACCCCTAAAACCCATCCCTGCTGCAGCCACCAGCATCGCTGTTGTGGCTGGCCACTAAGCACCGCTGAGACCAGGCACACTCGCTTCACGAGTGGCCCAGCAGCAGGTTGGAGGAAACTCCTCCAACTTTTGCCTGCTCGGACATGTTACACTGCCCAGGTGATGCCTGAGAGCCCTGGGGCACCTCGCCCTGGGGTCGCATCCTGCATCCCGGGAGAGGTGCGGGGCCACCAGCATTTCCAGCTCCGGAAATGGGGCTTGTGCCAAGCGCGCCTGCCCAGGAAGGGAGAGCCCCGAAGTTTTGGCATTGGGTGGTAATAAATCAGAGCAAACAAAGCTCAGCCAAGGGGAACGTAGTGGGACTTTCTCGGCTCTGATTATTATTCTGCAGCAATTTCCGTGTGAGTTGGGGCAGGGTTTGTACCAGAGCGACTCCGACTGCTCTGCTCACAGACACATTGCGCGTTGGTTTTTAAAACCAAGAAAAGAAAATGGAAGGGGAGGGGAATAAAAAGCTTGAAACTTTGGTAAGGAGAGGAACCGTCTTCTCCAGCCGGGCTGGAAGAACAGTCTCTGCTCCGACAAGTGCTGCCTGCGAGCTGGGCTCGGGCAGGCAGCAGGGGCAGGATCCCCAGGGATTCCTGCAGCAGAAGCGTGCGGGGATGGGCTGGATGGTGCTGGAGTTTGCCTCAGCATCACTCCTCCACCTCGTGGGGGTCCCATCCTGCTCCCCCCCCAGAGCAGAGCAGGGAGGGCAACGGGGTGGTGCCAGCCAAGGTCCCAGCTCCCCTCCCTGGGGGTAGCCAAGGGGACCCCTCAGGGAGATAGGACTCACTTGGAAACCACCCCCACCCCCCCAAACTGAGCTAGAAGGGGCTTAACTGCAGCCTGCACCTCCCAGCGCTGGGAAGGGGCTGGGACCTCAGTGTCCTGCTCCTGCAGGGACCAGCAAGACCTCCTCCAGCCCCCGCGAGGGGCGAGGGAGACCCGTGGGTGGGTGGAGAGGGTCCAGCCAGGGGCAAGAGGACAAGTCCCCCAAGACAAAGGTCCCCGTTTTTCCCCTGCCCCCATCCCTGCCCGTGTCCGCACTCACCCGCTCCCCGGCTGCTCTCGGCGCTCCGGTCCGGTGCCTGAAGCATCCTCCTCCTCCTCCTCCTCCTTGTCCCTTATAGCGGGGCGAGGGAGACCCGTGGGTGGGTGGAGAGGGTCCAGCCAGGGGCAAGAGGACAAGTCCCCCAAGACAAAGGTCCCCGTTTTTCCCCTGCCCCCATCCCTGCCCGTGTCCGCACTCACCCGCTCCCCGGCTGCTCTCGGCGCTCCGGTCCGGTGCCTGAAGCATCCTCCTCCTCCTCCTCCTCCTTGTCCCTTATAGCCGGGCGTGGGCAGGCGGAGCCGCCGCAGGACTGTCCCCTCCGTGGGCACCGTCCCCAGGCGAGGCCCTGCCCTCGGGGAGGGGGAAGGTTGAATTTACTTGAAACTCCATCAGGAGGAGCCTGGGTGGGCAGGAGGGGACAGGGCAGGGGGCTGTGCATGGGGCCAAAACCACCTTCCCCTCTCACACATGCCCAGGGGACCCCAGATGAGCAGCAGATCTGACCTTGGAGGGGATGGGAAACCCCTAGCCCAAAGGACAGGGCTTTTTGGGGGAATCTCAGTGTTTCAGCAGGGGTGCAGCAAGAGCAAGCTCCAGCGAGAGGGTCCAGCCTCAGCACCCTCCCCTGGGTGCACAGCCATCACCAGACCCAACCGCCCAAACCTGGGGAAGCGAGGGCGCAGGTCCTCAGGGCCAGCACCCCCCTCCCTCCTGCCAGCACCGTGGAGTAGGACTGAAACTGCTTTTTGGGAGCAGCCTCCACCCTGTACAGAGAGGCCACATCCTGCTCTTGCTGACTGAGGGCCCAGACGCTGAGGCAGCACTGGACCTTCAGATGCTGGACATTGGCCCTTTGGCGTTGCCACATCCAGACAACCTCCCTTCTATGGTCCAAGGCCATGCAGGGAGGCGTCCCAAGCACCAAGAACTCAGGGGTGGTGCTGGGGCAGCCCCCTCCCGCATCCTGAAAGAAGCTGCTTTCTTCAGGCACGGCTGATATTTCACCACCTTTATTTGGAACAAAACCATAAATAAA